TTTTTTTTTTTTATTTGAATTACTTACTTCTTGGATTCTGTTACTGATAAGTTCCATACTGTTGCTTCCAGTGAGCACTCCATGAATAACGACCACGGCACGATAACCATCGACGTCATTATTAAGAAGAGTTAAAAGTAAAATAAAAATATTAAAGCCTCTACAAGTTACGGTAGCCATCGACGACGGATAAATAATGCTACTATCGAGATTCATCACATCAACACGCTTCCTTCAAGCTCGTTTTCCATTGAAACGACGAGATTTCAAAGTAAACAGAAAGAACTCGTGGTTGTAGTTTCTGATTGGTGTTGCCTTCCCTTTATCATTGCCGCTCGGTCGTTCCGTTGAGACAGCGGCTTTACGATCGATTTTATAAGCGACGCAGTGCGACGTCTCTTGCACGGAAGGAAGACCCTCTTTGCAATCGTGCTCTGCCGAAAACGAAGAAATTTCATTTATCAGCAATGATTTTGTGTTCTCAACGAATAACAACTAAAGCAAGGAACATAATTAATTCCTATATTCTAGCAGTTCGCAATCGATACGAATTTCATCATTAAAAATTTCTTGTTTCGCGAGGGAACTGAATTTTTTTCTTTTGAGAAGAAACTCAAAATAAATGAAGTGCAAACGAGCGAAGTTTATTGTCATCACTGGATGATTATGTGGGATTGTAACAACTAGAGTGATCAATTTTGATCGATAGACCAAAAGGAGTTAACGACAGCGAAAGGAATTCAATTGCATTCTGAAATAACGTGCCACAGAACCTGGTAGATCCCTAATCCTTTTGCAGCTGTATGAAAGGTTGCTGGGCACGTGGCATTTCCCGTGCTTCCACCATATATCACCGTGTCCTGACATCACCCCTAGTTGGCATACGAAACTCACGCCTTGGAGGATGGATGCTTGCCGCATTGTTTCGGCCAACGTCATTCTCGATTATCACGCTTTCACTTTGCGAAGAGACGTTTGTCACCATCGAAGAACGGTGTTGCAATTTCGGCAAGCGAATCTACCATTCCTTCAGTGATCCTCTAATGCACTCATACGGATTTGCCAAGTTACATGCAGCAACGTCACGAGAGAAGCAATCCCGCAGCAACTTTAGAATATACAGATTTTTCTTCTTGGCAAGATAGTACTCGATTAGCACGAAAAATTCAAGCATTGAAATAACAAAGGGACAGATATCCCCATTGCCTTAAGAAATTAGAACGTTATACATTTAAGCGGAAGGAAGCGAACCATGCTTACGTATTTCTGATGTCGCACACTGGCGTTAATCGAGTCGCCAGAAGCTTTGAAACTACCAGCGTTTCTTTCTCTTGCCGAAGAGGGAACGAAATGAAGGGGAAAGAGAACGAGAAGAGAGGAAAGACGGCCAATCCAATTCCACGCTCAAACCCGACCATCGTGATGGCGGAGGGTGGCGAAAAAACGCAGCCACGCCAGGCGAGCGTAGGTCTCGGAGCTTTTTTGCGTTTAATCAAGGATATTCGCGGTCGGCTGACTCGCTATTTTAGTCCACCAAGTGGTAACCGAACCGCGCAACCACCAGCGACGACTATATCGCAGGAAGTGGATGAAGGAATCTTCGTCCTTTGACCTTTCAGGCGCGCTCCTATCTATCTTTTTATAATTCGACGCGCATTTTCTATTATTTCCCCCTTTTACGAAGCATCTAATAATATTGCGAGCGTATCTCGATATCTGTAGATATTAAAGAAAATGTCTTACTTACAGTAAGTGACGGTTTTATGCAAGTTTAAACGTTCTTTAGAGAAGAATTAGTATTCTTTTCGCGTCTCGATAAGAGGATTACGCGGGATATTATTTAATGAAAATACGTTTAATTAGTTTACGATGCGAATTAGAAGTTGCGCCATTGCTGCAACGATAATTCACGCCCGCGTTCGTCTGTAGTAGCGAAGGTAGTAATTCAGCTTCCGGTTTTGTAAATTCAAATGTACACAACGCGCGGCGAATGAACAGTGCCACCAGTTAATATTTGCAAAAATATGCAGGGACCGCCGCACAGTGGTCGTGTTTTTCATTCTCGTGCTGTCTTTGTTCAGTTACGAAGATGAAAAGAATCAACAAAATATAACGTTCCCCGCCTTCTCTCTACTTGGTGAGACAAAAACGAGAGAAAACGTGCAAACGAACGAAATTGTCAAGTCGAGTGATCAAAAGAACGGATGAAAATCGTGTGATTAAAATCGTTTCGATCTTTCGTCGCGTACCGTTCAATTTTCGGGACGAGCATTTGTCTTTTTATCAATGGTCGGCAAGAGGAATCATGGATCCTCTTCATCCAAGAATCGACTCGAGAGCCTGTTTAAGGCCACCCTCCGGCTCAGTAAGTACAGAGGCGGGAGAGAAGACGAAGTGGGTGGTACAGTGCCGGAGGAACGGCCGGGAGATTAGCGTTAATTACAGAGTTGAGCCGTTCCGGGGTTGGGACGAGTGCGAGGTATTTGTCACTCGGCACCGCTCTCGACTCCTGTTCCTCGTTCTGAATATTAATAACCCCGCGCCATCCTTCTCCTCCGTTCCACCCTCTCTCCCCCACCCCCTCATCTCACCTCTCGTTTTACGACATCCGATGAATTGCGCGGCAGGCAACGCTACTCATTATGCTGACTGCTTGATTTCATCATCGTCAACCGTTACGAAAAATTAATCGCCTCGTGATCGGGGAGAACGAGGATCACCTCGTGCAGATTTTTAATCGATTTCTTTGGTCTGTCGCTCTGTCTGTCTTTACAGAGACAGATGACGGACGAAATATTTTTCTTCTGCCTCGTCTCGTAGTAACGTATGCATTCGGCCAAAGACAGTGTTCTCCTACTTTTCTTCCACTCTGTCATAGCGTTTTCCAAAAATTGAAGGACGGTACCACCGCGAGTCGACGGGTTGTGGCCCCCTTCCACGTAACACGTCGATCAATCGATATCATCCTCTCTCGTCCTTTCTGCGGTCGGTCCCTCGATGGCGGTCCCATTGCCGCGCAAAACGTTCAGATATTCAAAGTCGGGGAATAGTTTATTCATGGCCGGCTCGGAGAACTTAGAAAGATATTGGAAGCGGCTCGGGAGAGGGTAAAAGATAGAAAAAGAGACGGGGGGAAAGGTGGAAAAACCGGGGAAAGGAGCGAGAGTAGCGGAGGGCGAGAAAGAGAGAGGAAACGATATTGGTCGGACGGAAGTGTCCCCTCGGGGAAACGAGAAAACGGGAGGAGCGTCGTCTCTCCCCCGATCCGATAAAGCGAAAGAGGGACCCCCTTGTGGCACGACCACCACTCCTACGCGTTGACCCACGTGACAGCGAGCCCGCCAATAAAATTCAAATAAACTCCGCTGTGCATACTAAATTATCACATCTTCCATTACCCGACCGCGTGCTCATCCTCGAACAGTTTCCTCCCGGTCCCGTGGAAATGTTTCAGCATCGTGTCGAAATTCCAATATTTTCGACTTTCAGCCAAGATGGGAGCCGCAAGCTGCCTGTAATACGTCTTCCACGAGCAAGAGGTCAAAACGGGGATCGATTTCCAAACCGTTTATAACCGATTTAATACCGAGAAAAATGCGTTAAGTCCGTCGCGCAGAAGTTTATCGTTCGTACTGAGATATCCCGTTTAATTGATTGCTCGTCGACCAGAACTTAATCTGTTTTGTCGGGGTCTGGTCGACGGAAAACCTTCAGCGGATTTAACGCTCGACAAAGGCCTCTCGAGTTTTAAAGGTGATTAAAAAAAAGGATGAACATTCGATTATACGGAGTGTGTCCGCGCTACGGAATGTAACGCGGTGTCATTAATCCGTTGTTGAATACTCGCCGAGAAAACGAGAATGACTCGTCCAAGAGGGTGCAGCACGACGCTGACGAAGGGACGGCGAGGTCAGGTGGCCTTTCCCAGGAACGCCCCAGATTTCAACATTACTCAAGCAGGATCAACCTGCCAGGAAGAAGGCCATTGTTCGCTTTTCCGCTGTTGAGTTTCCTTTCACATCGTCAGTGTATCACCATCCTCGGTGATTCGACCATTGAAACACATGACACTTTTCTTTTCTCCTTCGAACACCATGAAGAACATCGTCAAACATGTCAAACAAAAACGAAGAAAATTCCAAGAAAACGAGATTTTAATCGCGTCGAATGAAACGTCAAACTTCTCATTCATAAGGAAGTATATATTCTTGTAATTCCCTGGATTTTTTTTTTTTCACAAGAGGATAAACGCGTTAAACGTGCACAGAAATTAACCAAACGAAGTTTCCGCTGTGTAAAACAATTAGTAGCTTAGCTGTGCCCCTGTTCTCCCTATCAGCTTGTCTACGCCCCGACTATTAGTATAATCGCTAGAGGCTACGACCCTTAGCTACCCTCGAGCGGCTCACTTTAATTCTTAGCAAGTTAGAGGCACCCCTTCCCCAACCTAGCAACGATCTGTACAACTTTCCCGCTTTGTTCGATTTTCTCCTCTGCCTCTCGAATCAAGCGTTAAGCTGCATCAAGTGTATTTTGTTGCCTTTCTAGTAGATTCTTGATAGCGGAAAATTGTCGGCGCGTTTTATCCTCGTTACATTCTTCCTGCTTTCTCCGCTTTTTCTACTAATCGACTTTTTCCGTTCCATGTTGTTATCAGAGATTTACTACACAAGTACTATCGAAACCATTAGTCGTTATATTTCAACTCTTCGACTCATAATATCTTTTATTTCGATTTCTTTGGTACGAATTTTATAAATGTTTCAGTCTTCGGTACACTTAGCAGAGATCGTCTATCTCTTGATTTGTCCAGCGATGTAATCATTTATTTCGATGAGAATATCAAGGTTCCAGAAACACGTGTAAGTATCGCAGTTTTTCGTAAGGCAATTAGAACGACGATTTCCCGTGGCGTTTTTCATCTTTCGTCACGTCGAGAACAAATGTACCGTTCAGCTGCGTATCTAATTGATTTCGGCCCCAGTATCGGGGCTGCGTCACGGCCGCGCCGAGGGTGAACTTCGGACGTCGAACCACCCCTTTGCATTATGGATGCACCTGATTTCACACTTGTTCGTTCGCACTGGCAAACCCCTTCGCCCCCATAACGTCTCCATCGATATAAACGGGCCGCAATTTGCTGGCCCATTGTAAACCGCCCCTTTCGCCTCGATTCGATGGGTAATAAATCCTGGTTCCGGGATATATGGCGAATTTATGTTTACGAATGCTGCCGCCGGAAGAGAAGGTACGAGGCTATC